CTGCCCCCCCCGCACAACAGCGGCCCAAACCAGGGCTGCTCCCCTAAACCAGGGACCCCCCCTCCCCTTTTTCCCCACCCTTCCCCACAGCCCCGCGCCCTCCACGCCCCCCCACGCCGGCAGGGGGCGCCCTCCCCTGCCCTGCCCTGCCGTCGCAGCCCCTCACCCTTGACGATGCGCTCTGTGGTCGGCAGTTTGTGGTGCCCGCGGCCCGACATGTTGGCGGCGCTACCGCCGGCCTCCCCCCCTCCCCTCGCCGCGAAAGGAGGGGGCCGCGGGTGCTGCCGGCGGCGGAGCGGCCTTCGGGATCCGCTCGGTGCCTCGAGCGGCGGCTCCCCGCCCCTCCCCCCCTCCTCCGCGTACCGCGCACGCGCCGCCCCTCCCCGCTGCCCCGCGCCTGCGCGCGAGGTCACGTGTGCGCTCCCCTGTCTCTTCCGGCCGCCATCTTGGACGGGCAGGGCCGTTGCTAGGCGACGCGCGGCCCGGAGCGGAGCGCGGCCTGCTGGAGGCCCGGCGCCGTGCCCGGCTCTCAGCGCGTCCCGCGGCTCGGCCCGCGGCTCCTTCCCCGCCGGGGGAGGGACAGATCAAGGCGAGAGACCGCACAGAACTTAAAAATAAAACCTTCGCCGCGCCCTTCTGGCAGCGCAGATGGGGAAACGGAGCGCGGGGAGGAGCGACGGGAGGGGAGGAGGGTGGAGGCCGGGGGCGACGCGAGGGGTCTGCAGCAAAAAGGGGAGGGGGCCCAAAGCAGGGAAAGAGCCGAACCCCCCCTCCTCCCCCCCAGCGCTCGGGGTCAGGGAGCAGAATCGCGTCCTCACTGCAGCCGTTTTCCTGTTTTTATTTTGAGGGTGTTTGTGCCGAGATGGGCTTCCGAGCAATGAGCTCCCGCTGTGAAAAGCAGCGGAAAGCGGCCTGGAAAGGCAAAATGGGGGGGGGGGGGGGGGTGTTTTTCTTCCTTTTTCCTCTCCATGCAGGGGGGCGACGGCACGAATCCGGGGAGAGGAGCGCAGCGCCGAGCATCGCGAGATGCCGAGGGCAACGCAACGAAAGGAGGCAGAAAAAGGAGTTTGTTCGACTTGAAGGCGGCCCAGCAGCGGGGGGCGGGGAGGGGACGCAGCCCCGGCCCGTGGAGAAACGGGAGCTGTGAGCGCCGCCGTCCCGTCGTTACGGAACATCGTTTATTGGTGGAGCCGTACAAAGGACTTTGCAGCTCGCGCAGCACCGCCTCACGCTCCTGGTTTTCGACAACACCTGAGTTATAAAATACTGAGATGCGGCCTGAGCTGCTGCTGGGCGTGGAAACGACGGCACAAATCCAAAGTCAGTGCCGTCCAAAGGCTGCAGCTCCTCCCACCGGCCCTCGGCTGAGGGGGGCGTCTCCTCCCCCCCAGAACAGCCAGAAACCAGCAGCATCCCTTCGGGGACGGGGGGCTGCCCTCTGCAAGGAGCTCCTTCCTCCAGGGCTGCGCGGATGGGCTGCAGACGTCTCGAGTCAACGGGCAAAACAAGGGATTCAACACGAGATGAGGACACGGACTCTCCATCCCCACTGCAGAGTTGGTTCTCAGCTCCGTGGGACGCAGAGGACCCCCAGCGCTGCGGTGCTCGGGTGCAGCCCAAAGGTTTTCCCCGCTCGCCTCCAGCACGAAGGCTTTTCCTTGGCCCTGCTCAGCCCCGGGGTTCCGGCGCTGCCCTCTGCCCCAGCAGCAGCAGCACAGTGCTTTCCAAACGCTGCCCTGAGGGGGCAGGCAGACCCCATCCCTCCGAGGAGTCGGTTTTTCCACACCGTGTCGGTGAGGCTGCAGAGGCACGGAGCTTTCCCTCCCTCCCAGCTGCATCGCTGGGGCTCCTGACTTTCCACCCGGCGCCCGTCCTGCGAAGGTGCCACGTGGGCCAGGGCCGCTGCCAAGGCTCCCGGCTCCAGCTCTGCTGTTCAACCTGCTGGCCGCCCGTGGGACAAGGCAGCGGCTCCCCGAGCTGCTGGAAGCACAGCGGTGCTGCAGGACGGCGCCCTGCACCGCTCTCAGGGTGAGCAGCTGGGAGGTGAAGCGGAACCACGGTGCCCCCATTCCTTCCAACACGGGTGGAAGATTTTGGAGAGCCTCGGCTCCGACCCGCAGTGGCTGAACGCCCAGCGCTCCGTCACACGGGCAGGGAGCAGCGGAGGCGCTCAGCACAAAGCACCTCCAGTTCCATTTCCATCCCAGTTCCCACAGGGGGCTCCACGTCCACGAAGCCCCGCTGCTGGTGGGGGGAGGAAGGGGCGCGAGGAATCGCAGGGGTGGGCAGCGTCATCAATGTGATAACGGGCCGATTCACCCAGGGAACGCAGAGGCAGGGCTGTGCTGCGCCTCCAGCGCCACCGTGGCTCCTCCAAGGGCTGGCAGTGCACAACCCGAGGAGGTTCGCAGTCTCTTTTCCTTTTTCTGGTTTGTTTTAGGAAAAAAAAAACAACAAAAAAAACCACCAAGGCGCCCCTCCCCCCCCAGCACCTCTGCGCCGCAGCAGCAGCGTTTAAAAGCAGGCCTCTGTTCCCCGCTGTCTGTGTGCTCACACTGCAGGCTGTGGCCGCCCTTGGTGGGGCTGCGGCTCGCTGCCCTGCTCTGCGCTCTGCCCTCCTTGCTCCCAGAGCAGCAGGTTCGTTCTGCTCACAGCAGCACTTTGCATCGCACTGCAGCTCAGGCCGTGCGTGCCGTGCTTTGGTCTCCTCTGCTGCGAGCGCCGCCACCCGCAGCCATAGAACAGAACAGCCATAGAACAGCCATAGAACAGCCATAGAACAGCCATAGAACAGCCCCCTTCCTGCTCCTCCTCGCCCCGGGCAGAACGGAGCAGAGCAGCTCCAGGGCTGGTTGTAGGGGCAGCAACAAGAGCCTCGAGTGGCGAGCTGTGCTCACGGAGCCTCCGCAGCTCCTCTGCTCCCACGGCCGCCCTCGGCCCGGCGCTGCTCCGAGGATCTCCGAGTCCTGAGAGGCGCCCGCCCCTCGCGCCGCCCATTTCCCGTCTCTGGGCGCCCGTTGGTTCTGAGCAGCAGCAGGCAGCTCGCGTCCAGCGCCAGCCCCGCGTCACCGCATCGCGCAGCTCCGACACCAACGGGCAGCGGCGCAGCTCTGCGCCCCGACTCCATCCTTCCCCCGAGCCGTGAGGGGAAAAGGAACGCGGTGCTGAGATGCTGGGCTCGGCTCCGTCCTGCGGCGCAGGGGCCACAGCCTGGTGCTAACGGGGGGCCCGTGGGAAAGCTTTGGAAGCAAAGCCTCTTCTGTAGTGTTCCGTGACGCCAGCGCCTGCACGGCTACCGACGGATGTTTGCAGCAGGAAAGGAAAGAAAAAAATCCCCTAACCCCCCCCCCAAAATAAAGGGAAAACTGGCGCAGGGCTCCGCCGCGGGCCGGGCCTACCCGATGCGGATCTGCCCCGAGTACATGGTGAGCAGCACCATGATGCTGAAGCCCGTCAGCAGCCCCGCGTTCTGGATGGCGAAGGTGACGAGCGCGCTGCCGTTCTGCTCGTCCTCCCGGCTCACCTCGTTCATCTCGGGGAACTGAGGGCACAGAGGGGGGCGCTGAGCGGCTCGGCCCAACAGCAGCGCAGCCCCTGCGCCCAGCAGCGCGCCCAGCCCGGCCCGGCACGCACCATGTCAGCCAGCGCGATGTACAGGAACATCCCGCCGGCCAGGGCAAAGATCCAGTTGGCAGAGAAGTGGCTGCCGGCCACGATGCCGAAGGCCAACCCCACGTAGCAGCAGCAGGCCGAGATGAAGTTGAAGAAGAGCGCCTGGCGGATGGTCATGCCGGCGTTCAGCAGGATGACAAAATCCCCTGAGCGGAGAAGGACGGGAGGATGAGGAGGGGGCTGCCGCTCTGCCACAGCGTTGGCACGAGGCCGAATCGCCCCCAGCGTTCCGAGAGCTCCGAGCCTCCCCTGGGGGCCGGCGCTGCGACGCGAGCTGAGCACAGGATCGCTGCCTGCCGGCCCCACTGCTGGGCGCTGCCTGCGCCACTCGGCCCCAAAGCGGCCCTGCAGCGAGCCAACGGCGCTGCTGTTCTCCTTCGGGTGTCTCCATCTAAATTTAACCCCCACACATCACATTACCTCGATATTTTTAGTGCTGCCGCTGCTCACGGCAGTTCACAGCCCTCACCGCCTGCCCTCCCACCGGCACCGGGTTTATCCCAGCCCACCTTCCTCCTCCGCCCGAGGAACAACGGGAAGACCAGGGAAGGGCTGGGGAATTGTGGAGGACCGGGGGCATCCCGAGGGACTGGGGAAGTGCCAGGGCGTCCCAGGGGACCTGGGGCATCCTGGAGGACCGGGGGCATCGTGGAAGACCAGGAGAAATGTGTGGGACCAGGGGCATCCCGAAGGATTGGGGAAGTGCTGGGGTGTCCAGGAGGTGCAGGGAAATCCTGGAGGACTGGGGGCATCCCGAGGGACTGGGGAAGTGCTGGGGCATTCTGGAGGACCGGGGGCATCATGGAGGACTGGGGAACTGTGTGGGATTGGGGCATCCCAAAGGACCGGGGAAGTGCTGGGGTGTCCAGGAGGCGCAGGGAAATCCTGGAGGACCGAGGACCCCCCCTGGAGGACCACAGGGAAGCCTTGCGGAGGGCAGCGCCGAGGACGCGTTTCCAACATACCCAACTCGTGCGGGAACTCCTCGCACAGGATGGCCACGGAGGTGCTGATGCCTTGGAAGACCGACACGGTGAAGGAGGCCCCGATGGCCAAGCCGTCGATGAAGTTGTGCAGCCCGTCGCTCAGGGTGATCATCCAGGCCAGCGTGCCGATGTCGGAGTAGCGCACCTCCTTCAGCCAGTAGCAGGCGCTCTGCGAGGCCTGGAGGTCCTGCAAGCACCACGGGCCGCGGCTCAGCACCGCGGGGATCCGCGCCGACCCCGAGGGCCGACATCCGCAGAACCTGGAACCGGGCGGCCGCATTTCCGCCACCCCAGGGCGCTCAGTCGAACCGGGCGCCGAGAGCCCGAACCCCGCGGGACGGGGCGCCAACCTGGACGCTCAGCGATCCCACCACGACCTTCCCGTCGCCAGCAGGGCTCTTGCACTCCATCTCGCTGCTGACGGGCGGGATCATGTGGTCCAGGTCCCCGTTCTGCAGCTTCTCGGTGACGCCTTCCTCCCGGTCCTTCCTGGAGGGCAGAGCCTCGGCGCCGTAGTGGCTGTGCCCGTGGTGGTGCTGCGCACGGAGGAACAGCATCAGCCGCCTCGGCTCTCTGCCGTTTCCCACCCCGGTGTTTTGCCGTAACGCCAACCGGGGCCCCGGACGGCCGAGAAACGGCGAGAGCCGCGACAGAACGGCGCCATCAGCGTTGTGCATGGAAGCCAAGGCAGGGGGAGCGAGCAGCGAGCGGCGACCTCACCGGGTCCTTCTGCTTCAGCAGCATCTTCAGGATCTTCTCCGTGAAGAAGAACAGGTAGAAGCCCCCGAACACCACGGCGGATTTGGAGACGTAATAATCTTCTTGAGGGTTGAAGCCGAACGCCTGAGGGCGGGAAGGACGGATGAGAGCAGGGAGGAGCTGCGCGTCCTCCCCCTGCCCTCGCCCCGGGGTCCCGCTGCTGCTTTCTGAGCTCCCCCGTCTGCCCCGCGGCTCAGGGCTCTTCCCGACCCGACCTGCCCTGGGCACCGATGCTGTTTGCAGGCTGAGACGCCTGCGTGCAGGGCTGCGCTCACGGAGTCGCCACGGCCGGACGAGACCCCCGGAGCGCCCCCTGCACCGCCGCCCGTGCGAAGGGCCCCCGGTTGCTGCCTGGCGGCCCCAGCGAGCGGCCCCGCACCAGGAGGGCCGGCGGCCGCAGGCTCAGCTCCTGCCACCAACCCGCGTCCCCGCAGCCCAGGCCGTCCCCGTACCTCGGGAATGAGCTGGAAGAGGGCGTTGGAGTAGAGAGTTCCAATCGCCAGAGCTATGAAGTAGAGGAGCAGCCGCTTGTAAAAGGTCTTCTTCATGAAGGGCACCACGCTGGCTCCCACCAGCGAGCACAGGGAGATGACGGTGACGCAGAGGAACCCGTAACCCCAGACTGCGGCGTGCCAACCCACCCCAGGAAACGGGACGGGGGAAGGGAGATCAGCGTGGGGAAGGGAGGGGGCAGAAAGGAATCCACACCGAGAGGAGAGAGAGAGAAGAAGACATTCATTAGCGATTGCTTCCATTGGCGCAGGAGGGGCGGCCCGGGGCCGAGCAGCGCCGGAGCGGCTCCGCGGGGAGGAACCGGAGGCGGAGCCCCGAGCGGGCGGCCAGGACGGCGGCGCGACGCCCGGCGCTTCGGGCCCGAGCCCCGCAGGGCCGCCGCTCCAACCGCCCCGCGCAGCTCCGTCCTCAGCCCCGGGCCCCCCGGGCAGCAGAGAGCGCCGCGCTGCGTCCCGCGGTCGGTTGTGGAGTTGGAAAGGAGCGCCGAAAGCCTCGTGGTGTGCGGGGCGCCATGCGCTGCTCCGCAACGGCCCGGCTGTGGGGCTGCGGCTGTGCAGAGCGCATCCTGAGCAGCGCCGGGCCGAGGGGCGGCTGCCGGCATCGCTGCTGTAAGGCAGCACGGGGGGCTGCGCCACGACGCGTGCGTTTGGAGGAGCCCGATCTGAGTCCAACTCCAGAACCGAGCCGCTGCAATTACAGCCCAATTAACTTCGCGATGCGTCGCTCAGATCCGTCCGAGCACCGGGAAACCTGGTGTCAGCAAAAAGCCACCGTAAAGCAGCGGGAAGGACAGCGAGGGGTCGGCGAGGCTCGGGGCGATGCTGCCGCCCCGCTTCCACGGCCCCGAACCTCCTCTGCACGGCACTCGGTGCGGCCCCGGAGCTCGGAGGGTCGGAGGAAGCCCGCGGAGCCCCGCTGCGCCATCGGCTCAGGGCGGGGGGATGGGGGGGATGGGGGGGGGGGGGCGGCCAGAGGAGGCACCCGGAGAGCAGAGCCGCCCTCGGACAGGAGAGAGGCGGAGACGTTCGACCGCACCTCTGGGATGAGCTGGAAGAGCGCGTTAGAGAGCAGCGTGCCGATGGACAGCGCGATGAAAAACGTGAGGACGCGGCTGAAAAAGGCCTTCTGGGTGCAGGGGACGATGAGGAGGCCGAGCAGCGAGGCCACGTTTATCATCGACACACTGAGAAAACCAAAGCCCCACGCTGCGGAACGAGAAGAAACGAGGGGCGGGCATTACCAGGGCTGGGGGGGAGAAGGGCGAGGCTCCGGGGCGTCGCTCCCCGCGTCTGAGTGCCACAGCTCGGCCGTTTTAGGGACGGATCCACCCAGCCCAGCTCCGGGCTGCCGGGGAACGATTTCCCGAGCCAGCGGAGCGGCAACAACGAGCAGCGCTCAGCCGGGGCTTCGGGCACCAGCGGGACGCGGGAGCTCAGGAGCCGCACGGGGCAGCCGGGGATGGGGGCCGATCCCAGCAGCGCCGCCGTCCGCCCAGAGACCCCCGTCCGCCCGTCCGCCCGCGGGCCTCACGGCAGCTCCATCCCAGCGCCGCGCTGCGGCTCCAACGCGCACCGAAAGCCGAGCGCGGAGCGGCGCCGCGCCGAGGAGCGGGGCGGGAGGACGCGTCCCCGGAAGGGACCCCCGGGCCCCACCTTCAGCCGAGCTGGGTCTGCTCTCCTCCGTCTGCTCGTTCTCCTCGTTCTCCAGGTTCTCGGCAGCGCACGCCGCCGACTCGAGCTGCTGCAGGACGGCGGGGCAGAAGGCGCGCAGCTCCGCGGCGCCCAGCACGGAGCCCTCGCTCAGGTTGTGCGCGGCGAACAGCTCGGCCGAGCTGAAGCACTGCGGGGGGAGGCGGAGGACGAGGCGTGAAGGCGAGGCGGCGGGGCGGCGCCCGGCGCGGGGGGAGCTCGGCTTACCCGGGACACGTTGGCGCGGGGCTGCGAGCCGTTGCCGCGCCCCACTCCCACATCCAGGCGGTTGAGCAGCGCCTTCAGCTGCTCCAGGCTCAGCGCTTCGCCCTCCCCGTAGCGCCGCAGGAGATCCTGCAGGAACGACGCGGCCGACAGCGGGGGGAGCAGCGCGTCGCCGCCCGCCGGCACCCAGCGCAGGGACAGCAGCAGCAGCAGCGGCAGCGCGGCGGGGTTGGGCATGGTGCGAGCTGCGGGGGGACGAACGCGCCGTGAGCTGCGGGGGGACGAACGCGCTGTGAGCTGCCGCGCCGTGCTGTAGGAGCTCCCGTCTGCCGTCCCGGTGCCCGAGGAGCACAGAGCGGCCGTCCGGCATCGGGAGGCGGCAGCGGAGCACAGCTGAGACCCCAGCCCTGGGTACGGCAGAGGGGGCTGCACTGAGAGCCCGGTCCGGGAGGATGGACAGACAGACATGGGGACAGCTGGACGTGGGGACAGATGGATACAGCGCTCCCCCCAGCAGAAGGATTAGGGTTAGGGGTAGGGTAGGGTAGGGTAGGGTTAGGCTCACCGTGCCGAGCAGCAGGACGCGGCTGTGGTGGGGCTGCAACTCCAGAGGCCCTGAGGGAGAGAAGAGCCCCGCTGGGTGGATGCCGGCCCCAACGCTCTGCCGGCGCCACGCGGGATGGGTGCGGGGTGGGTGCGGGGCCCTCAGTGCCACGGGCGGCCCGTCCCACACCCACACGGCCGGCACTTCCAACGGGTTTTCCTTTGACCCCAATTCTGGCGGCAGCCCGGCGCTCCCCGCCCCGCCGTCACGCCGCGATCCTTTGCCCCCTCCGCTCCTTTCACGAACGTCGCGGCTCGACCGGAGCGCAGCGCTGTGGGGCTGCGATGGATTTGGGATTCAGCAGGAAAAGCTCTGCCCCAACGGCGCCGCGCCGCGCCCGGCCAAACGCCCTGCATCGAGGGGTCCCAAAGCACAGCGGTGCCCGGTGGGGGTCCCGCGTCTCGGGACACGGAGCAGCTCCGGGGCTGCTCACACGGAGCGCTGTGCAGAGGTTCGTTGAGCAAAAGTTACGGCACCGCTGTTACTGCGGTGACCCCCTGCACCCCCACCCCGCGGCACCCCGCAATGACGGCACGCAGCTCTGCACCCATGGGGCGCAGCGTGGGCTGACCCCGAGCAGCGTCCGCACGGCCCCCCCGCACAGCATCCCTGTGACCCCACGCAGCACCGCCACGGCCCGACACGCAGCATCCCGCATCCCCGGCGCGTCCTGCCCCGCTCCACGCACGGCTGCTGCTGCTGCCGGGACCCGCCGCCCCCGAGCGGCCCCATTGGTTACGGCTGAGCGGCCAAACGATGCCCTGAGGCCGGGACGGGGCAGCCGGGAGCCCCGCAAACCCCGCGGCGCCCCGCAGCGCAGCCCCACATCCACATTCCCGCCGGGTTTTACGGGTTTTAGGGGCTTAGGGCCGCTTTGCAGAGCTTTATTCCCCTGCAAGGCGCCCGCCCGTTCCGTTCAGCCGACTCGGCCGGCCGATCCCGCGGGGCTCCGCTTTTAATCCCTCCGCTGCCAAACGGGGACGCGGCACCGCGGTGACCCCCGGCTGTTCCCATCGCACCCCAAACCCCGTCGGGCCGCCCCCCGGAGCCGCTCGCGCTCCGACCCGTTCTCCATCGCGCCCGCGGGCCGCTCCTCCCGCAGCTCCGCTCGCTCATCCCCGCAGCTCCGTGGGGCTCCGGGGCTCCCGACGCCCCTCGGCCCCGCGCTCAGCCGTGCGGGGCTCTCCCGGCCTCCGCGCCTCCAGGCGGGATCCCCCGGAGCCCCCCGGGCCCCGCTGACCTTCACGGCCGTCCCCGCACCGAGCGCTGCTCTGCGGCCGCACCGAAGCGGTTCGCCGCGGGGCCGAACGGGCAGCGCAGCGCCGGGATGGGGCGGGGAACGGATCCGCCCCGGGGGCACCGAACCCCCCCCGGTCGTCCATGGGGCGGCAGAGCGGCGGCACGCAGCTCCCCCCCCCTCACCCCCCCACCACTTCCCCTAAGCTCCGCGCTGCTTCCCGAACGCCATCGATCCCGATTGCAAAACCCCCAAAGCGGCTCGGGAGCGCGACCCCACGGCCCGCACGGGGCGCTGCTCCGCATCCCGCGGCCGGCACCCGCACAGCCGGGGGCGGCCCTTGGGGGCACACGGGGGTCCCCGTCCCCGCGGCCACCCCCACCCCGCTCCCATCCTTGTCCCCATTCCACGCTTATCCCAATTCCTCCCCCCATCCCTTCCCTACCCCAATTCCTCCCCCAATTCCTCCCCCATCCTCTCCCAGTTCCCCCCATCCGTGCCCCAATTCCCCGATCCCGATCCTATCCCGATTCCCATCCCAATTCCCCCCATCCCTGCCCCAATTCCCGCCGATCCCGATCCCGATCCCCCCATCCATCCCGATTCCCATCCCTATGCTGACCCCAATCCCCCCCCCCACCCCCCTTCGCCCCAAATCCCCCCCCTCCCCCCATCCCCCCCTCCCATACCTCCTCCCGCAGCCCCGCTCGCTCGCTCCACGTCCCGCGCTGCGCACGCTCGGCCCGAGGCACGGGGAGGGCTCCCATTGGTCGACGTCACCGATCGCCCCGCCCACCGGGCTCCGCCCACCAATCATCGCCTCGCGCCCTCGGTCCCGCCCCTCAAAGGGACGGAGCGCCCCGCAAACCCGCGGGGGTCGCTGTGGCCCCCGGCCCCCACCCCCCCCACGACCCCCCCCAGGGGCGGCGCAGCCCTCGCCCCCTACCACGGCTACCAGCTCCCCATGGGGATGGGGCGCCCCATGCAGGGATATCGCCCCCCAAAAGCCCCCCCCCC